GTTGGTTACATCTATAGGGAAGAGGGTGGCACTGGAGGGCTGGGAGGAGCTTGTGTCTTTGCCATGGGTTCACTGTATTGATCCCTCCTTCAAAAGCCTTCTCCATCACCTTGCGTGCACGAGGGCTCAGAGCCTTCTCTGCAGTAAGCTGCGCTGGGCCACTGATGGCTAATGCTACCAACCGCTTGCTGCCTCACTCACGACATGCTGACGAGGGGACCCTGAGGGACAGACGGCAACGGGGGAGCTGCATGGAGCAGAACACACAGGCACACACCTCAAGGAGCAATATCTGAGACAGACAGCAAGAGGAGAGCTGCATGGAGCAGAACACACAGGCACACACCTCGAGGAGCAATATCTGAGCCACCCATCATCAGGGACCCTCTTCAGATGCCACCGTCAATGAGCTATCCTCTTCTCCCAAGGGTTCTTTGCCTCTCTGCTGGGTCATACACGTGGACTCCTCACCACAACCAAGCTGTCTTAGCTACGGCCTCAGCAGGGTCCCACCACTTCCCACCAACCCCGCTTTAACGTCAACCCCCAGGGGTTAATCAGGGTAGACCTTGGGGATCACCCAGATGCAACAAGGAGGACACTGAGGCTGGGGGAGCCTCGGACACCTGCCAGTCACAGTTTCTCTACTACCCCTTGCAGAGTTTGCTCCCAGAGTTCTATTAACTCCAAATCTCAGTATCAGTTTGGGACACTGCATCTAGATAAGAATTTCTCAGGTCAAAAGATATGCTAATGAAGATAAATCAGTGATTATAAAAGTCATCATCATCATCTAGGATAACAGCTTGTTGGTCCTCTAAGGACAACAGTATTTTAGTCAAAAGAATGAAGCTCTGTGATGGATCTGCAGCTGCCCTGGGAGTGGCAGGGTGTAGCCCACAGTCAGGACAAATCTCTGTCACCCACCAATCCCACAGCCGCTCAGACCCAACCAAGTAAACATAGAGACTTATATTGCTTACAAACTATATGGCCATGGCAGGCTTCTTGCTAACTGTTCTTATATCTTAAATTAGTCCATTTCTATAAATCTATACCTTGCCACAAGCTCGTGGCTTACCGGCATCTTCACATGCTGGCAGTGTCTCCCTCAGCCTTCCTGTTCTCTCTATTCTCCTCTCTGTTAGTCCCACCTATACTTCCTGCCTGGCCACTGGCCAATCAGTGTTTTATTTATTGACCAATCAGAGCAATTTGACATACAGACCATCCCACAGCAGCAGGGTGTCTCAGAATGGCACCAGTGTGTGGTTCTGACCCATTGATTCTGCTTCCTTCTTTCTCTGCTGGTTTCTGAACTTAATTATTTCACGGTCTCCTCCTGTGTCTGCCTGTATCCCCACGGTTTCATAGTGCTCAATCCAGGGCTCTCTCTCCCACTAGATTCTGCTATTTCTTTAACAAACACTTTCCTTGGGAGGATTATGAAAAATCTCTTTTGCTACCTGCCGTGGCCCTGTGAGCAGGGGGAAGACTCAGAGGAGGGATGAGCCCCTCCTGGCTGAGCGGCTGCTTGACTTGTTCAGGTGACAAGTAAGACCAGACTATTGCACATATCATCATTTACCCCATCTCCTACTTCGTCGTCCTTCTGAGCTCCATTCCACACATCTAGATCAGTATGCCCACTCTCCTGGGACAGCACAACTTCCCTAGGAGCCTCTCCCGTCCTTTCCCATAACTGTACGGGAAGGCTCAGGGGCCCAGTACTATGCAACACTGTCCTGTGGGCTCTAGACCACCTTTGTGTCTTTGCAAACAGCCTTTCTCACACTCAGAAGGTGTTGCCCTGGCCCTCGGCTGGAGAGTTTCACCCCTACTGGAGTGGCCTGGGCTACAGGCTCCACAAAAATCTAATGCCTCCAAGAAGAAAGAAGGGAGGGCGATAGAGGTCAAGGCAGCTCTGGATATTCCACCTCACCTCCCCAAGGGCCTTCCTCCTGTGCTGACACTTCCTGGGATCACCTGAAAGGGACCTTCACTGGACCCCTTCATCACATCCCTTCCAAGAAGGCCCAAGACTAAGAGCTGAATGGGAGTTTTGAACAAGCCATGGGAAGAGAGGTCTGCTCTGAGAGTTTCCAGCATATGAAGTGTGCATATGTTGGTGAGCTACATGCGGAGATGAAACATTCTAGACTGATTCATGTTTCATAGTGCTGTGCAAACTAAATTTCCAATATATGTAATTTTAAATAATAAAATTAAAAGTATTTGAAAACCTTATTGAATTCATTATGTTCAGATAGAAACCATGTACTTCCTTGGTTGATATTAAAAAAAGAATTCCTGGGAAATTGCCAAAGTGATTTAATGAGGAAAAAAAAAAAAAAAAAAAACATTCTGCAAACACATGTTCCTGGAACAGGTGGAAAAAAATACCCTCCACCCTGCCTTCCATTGCAATTGGCTCGAAGGTATAAATAGGACAGCTGGAAGGAGAAAGCTTGGGGGCAGACAGAACGGGTCTTCATCCTCCGAATGGAAATAGATGAGAACAAAAGGCAGAGACAGGGAGATGGCATATCTTCAGAAAAACCACCGAACTGTGCATGAACATCTGGGAACGCTGTGGTCGGTGTCGTACAGCTTTTTGCTATAAAAGTGGAAAAACACAACTTTTTTGAGTGGGCCCTCATAATGCTTGTTTTGCATTTATACAAATACCCAGGGTAACTGACACTCTTAGAACTTTCTGGAAGAGAAACAAACAAAAAAGAAGGCCGCGAGCATGAATCCTCTTTGTTCTGAGCCCTTCCCGACTTCTCAGTGTGCCTCCATCCACTGTGTGTGTCTTCCACAGTAGCTATATAAAGACTCAGGCTCAACACCCCGAGCCCTGAGTACAAGGCCTACATGGAATAGGGGTTGATATGTGTTGAACTAATGGATTGCTAGGGATAGCCATTCCCCTAACAGAATTTCATAGTTGAAAAAATAATTGGAAAGATATTTGCAAGTATTGAAGTCTTGTCCAGGTTCAATTGGGTAGAAGAATGTGGCTTAAGCAAAAATATTATTTAGGAAAAGTGGTTGGAGGAGGAATTATGGAGAAACATGGGCTTTAATAAATACAAAGTATTATTTCACCTTTATTCACAATACTGAAAACTGTTCATAACAGCTAATATATGAAAACAACTCCCATCCAGGAGGAGTGGCAAGGTCATGGAGTGAATCCATGCAGTTAAGTATTATTCACCATTTAAGAAAATGGAAAACCTGCCATCTGCAGCAATGTGGATCAGCATAGAGAATTTTTTTTTATTAAGTGCAATGAGCCACACAAAAATGGAAAAGGCTAGATCAAGATACACGTGGGATGTCCACATCCATCACTAAATACGTTAACATGGAGAGCATTGGTGGCTACAGGGCGGGGAGCTGGAGAAGACGGAAGGATGGGGTCTTGCCATTGTATCAGATGACCAGATCTAGAATGATGGCTTCTAGCATGTGAACTCTAGCTGATGACACAGCAGCACCAAAACCTGTGTGTTACTGTGACAAGATGCACACCAGGAGACTATGGGAAAGTACGAGCAGCCTCAATGCTTTCTTGTCCTAGTGATTTCTCTCTGTTTCAAAACACCACCTTGTCCAACTCAAGCATGTACATAGATAAATAAATAATGATGACGATGGTGAGTGCTTGGTTTCTGTACCTTTAGAACCAAATATACACGCTCAGGGATACAAGGCTGTCCTTGGATGGGGTAAGGTGTAAAAGCTATGACATCATTTCCATTTGAGAGTCTGGGTGTGTTGGTATCGATCGTAATTGAAAGAGAGAAGAAACAGGAGATCAGTGGACGATGGAAACTGTCCATCTCTCTTCACTGGTACATTGGCAATGTTACTGAAGGCCGGCTGTATGGGGGAC